TACAAATACGACACTACACTACAGCTCATGCTTGACGTCGACAAGGCATTCGCTAGAGTGTGGCATAAGGTAGAGCCCCTGAATTAGACAGGCCGACTTATCATTTATTGTTGGAGCAAAGAGCTAACATAAGCACAGCGAATAAATATTTTCAAGTGGTAGTATATTAATTGTAATTCTTGGTGTAATAAGTTCGATTTAGTAGATTTTAATCCACCACTATTTCTAAACAATGCGTAGGCTTATAAAATTCACCACTTTATAGTACTTATTACATTCTTTACATATTTAAAAGCAAGCAAATATTGTCAACTATTTGCAAAATTTAATTCGTAGTTATTACCGTTTTTTAAATTATTTTGGCGTGTCCACAGCAGTTGGCATCTCTTTAGTAACATAACGAATACTAAAATAACGTTAACTTGCGAACTTGTTTGCTCCAATATTGCTTGATAGGTCAGCTCTGATAGTATAGGAGCCTTAGCATAGGGGAATTAATAATCAAATTCATTCTTATGGGTATTCCTGGTGATCTCCTACTAAGCCTAAACTCATGTTTCACTTTTCGTCAATTCCGAGCCAAATTACTCCTCATACAGAAACATTAATGCCGACTTGCCTCAAGGTAATATTTTTGGACAGCTTTACTTTCTAATCTATGCTAATTTCCCCATAAAAAAATTAAAAAAAGAAACTAAGAAGAAACCCTAAACGACACTGCTCTGTATGCCAATGACAACGTAGTTATCAAAAAATCAATCAGACACCCCCTTGCAGTTGATTTATTTCAGAAAAAAAATTAAAGACATCGCAACATGGTTCTTTAGTTTGAAGACCAACCTATATCCTGATAAATGCCAACTCTTAAATTAAAAAAAAATTTTTTTTTTTGCTTTACTTACCACTAGGAAAAACATTTCGCATAAACTCAAATGCTGAAATTATGTCATTCGACACCAGCCAAATGTATTACTTGCAGATACCTTTATAGAATGTATCAAATAAAGATATTTTACACAGAATAACACAATTTTAAATAAATAATGAACTTTTTCTAACCAATTTAATGAAGCAGTCTATATTCTGAAATTTTTTCTTTTCAGTATCCACCAGCCAAATGCATTGCTGATAGATATTTTCATTAACGTACTTGCCTACATTTAATTTAAAATGAACATTTGAAGCAAAATTAAAATTCATATTAAATGTATTTTATTTTCTGAAACGGTAGTTTCTAATATTTGAACTGCCTTATTTCTATATCAACATTTGTCACGTAATAGGAGGCAGAATTTCTTATTTATTTAAAATTTCATTTCTTAAAATGATTTAATAATTCATGTACCTTAAAATTCAAAATTTTCTGAAACGTTGTCACAAAAATAATATTAAATTCTAAATAATTATTTAAAGCTACTTTTTGCATCTTTGGGTAAACGAATTTCGTAACTGTGTATAAAATGTTTCGATGAGCTTGAAAATTCATCGAGATATTGCGAAACACACAAAAAGTCAAAATATAATTAAGATAACTAAACTTTTGATCTTTCTCCTGACAATACTATGGGATTTGGACAGAATTCGAATTTGACCAAAAAGAAACTTAATAAAAAATTTGCGGTAATATGACTTATTATGCTTCTTAAAATAATGTCTGCTGCACTAATTAAGGAGTGCAATTAACTAATGCAATTAAGTTTTGACTCTTGAATCATTAAGATCGGTTCTAAAGTTTGATTCTGATCATATGCTTTTCAAAGTTTTTATTTTTTTCTAGCAAGAACAATGTACAAACAAGATAAAGTTAAAACTAAGCACTTTATGCATCAAATGCTAATTATAAGTCTGTTATAAATTTTTATTTTTTACAAAATATGTTTTTTTTAAAAAAAAATAGTGTATATAGTTTGCCACGGTTGACTAAAACAGCAAAAAGTGGTGACGATTAAAATTTAGAATTTTTATAAAAGATATTAAAATTTGCAAATTTCATAGAATATCTTTTTAGATTAAAAGAAATGACAATTTGCTCAGCTTCGCAAAAAAATAATCTTCTAGTAGTATAAAAATTAAAGTTATTTTCAGTTAAAATTCTTTTTTTTTTTTTGTAATTTGACATATTGAAAATATAAAATATCATAAGAAATGCTACATTATTACTGTTGTCTCGTTTCGATGCTTTTGAAGAGTGGACGTAATTTTCCTAATTCTACATGGTTTAAACTCCAATTCGCTACCAATTTATTAGAATTTTGCAGAAAGCGGAGTAGTTTTTATTTCTAGATTACTTTTGAAAGTGGATTCCGAGAATGATTCTCCTTAAATTTTCTGCGAAAACAATTGTAAAGGTAACTCATAGCGTTATTAAATAAATAACACATCCTGTGATAACACGATAAATAAATAACATGATAAATAACATAATGCCTGTGACGTCGCTGCATATCTTTTGTAAGAACGCGACTTCAGCGTGATAAATGATACACGTGAATTAAAAATAATTGTTTGTTATGGAAAAAAGTAGTATCGATTATTTTGTGCATTACAAACTAACATAATTTATAGCATCGTAAACGTATAATGCCCTTCTCCCTAGCACTTTCTAAGTAGCAGAGAAGTGGGAACTCTTAGTAGGCACATAAGTGAAATTTTAAAAAAAACTCTGGATAGAAATATAATATTAAATTTTATAAAAACTGAACTCTCGATTGCGAATTTGCAATAAGCGACGAAAAAATATCCAAATTTCCGTTCAAAAACCTAATGCATTAGAAAATTTTTAAAAAATTACAATTCATTATAGCGTGAATAAATGCACCTTTTGCATATCTAAAAATGATACGTGCTTTTTCGCAACAGACCTTTCAGACAGACCTAAGTATGTATATTTGTTTTTGAACCACTTTTTAATTGTTAGAAGCCTATTTCAAGAGCGATACGAGAACTGAAGAAATTTTCTGATCTAAAAGAAGAATACTTAACCGTTCTTCTGATCTCACGAAAAGTCATTTTTATTATTAATCTCATTCAAAAATTTTTAAAACAATAAGCCTTTTCTAACCGTTTCAAAGAAATATTTTCCTTTTTTTTGCAGTATCCACCAGCAAAATGTATTGCTAGCAGATACCTTTATAAGATATTAAAATTAACAGACAAAATTTTTAGTCAACTTTCAGCAAAATTAAAAGTTATATTAAATTTCTTTTCTTTTCTAAAACGGTAGTTTCTAAACTTCGAACTACCTCATTTCCATCTGAACATTTGTCACGAGAAAGGAAGCCATATTTTTTTTAGATATTAAAAATTACATGGTTTAATAATTCATATACCTTAAAATTCGAATTTCTTTGAAATGTTTTCACAAAAATAATAATAAATTATAAATAATTATTTGAAGCTACTTTTTCCATAGTATAATCTTGGGGTAAACGGATTTTGTATTTGTGTATAAAATGTTTTGATGAACTTGAAAATTCAACAAGATATTGCAAAACTCGCAAAAAGTAAAATTAAGATTAAGAGAACAAAAGTTTTGATTTGCTGTCCTGACCATACTATGGGAATTGGACAGAATTCGAATTTGACCGAAAAGAAAAGAATGAAAATTTGCGGTTATATGGCTGATTATGTTCCTTCAGATATTGTCTTCTGCACTAATTATTGAGTGCAATTAACTAATGCTAATTTAAATTTTAGTTTGAATCATTAAGATGGGTTCTGAAGTCTAATTCTGAAAAAAAATATTTAAATAAAAGTTAATTTATGTATCAAAACGGTGAAAAATAAAATAATTTCTGGTATTGTATCTGTTTTCAAAGCATATGCTCTTGTTTTGTTATCACGTCCTTGAAAAGTTTCCACAATTTTTCCAAGTTTCCACATGCTCCTTGGAAGTTTGTCATCATGAATCAAAACAATATCATTTACCTTAAAATTTTGATTACCTTTATCCAAATTTACATAATTGACAGCTCTTAAATTTAAAAGATAATCCCTTTTCCATTTCTTCCAAAATTGATTTATAAGTCTTTCTCGATATTTAAATTTTTTAATTATCATTTTTTTGTCAATCATGCAGTCAATACCGGATAACTTGACTGACGGTAAACTTATTAATCGTCTTCCAAGTAGCATGTGGGATGGCGTTAGAGGAAAAGTTTCTGGAGAATCTGTAGTCACGTAAGTAATAGGCCTCGAGTTAATCACAGCTTCTATTTCACATAGAACTGTTTCGAGTTCTTCACTAGTCAAAGATGTTTTCCTCAGTAATTTCCGAAGAATGATTTTCATTGAACGAACCATTCGCTCGTAGAATCCATCCCACCAGGGTGCTCTTTCAACGATGAATTTCCACCTTATTTCCTTTGAGGAATAAAACTCACTCCCTTCAGAACTGCTCAAAATAGTCCATATTTTTTTCAATTCAATCTCTGCTCGTTTGAACGTCTGAGCATTGTCTGAATAAATAACAGAACAAAGACCTCTTCTGGAAATGAAGCGACGAAATGCAAGTAAAAATGCTTCAGTTGTTAAACTAGAAACTATTTCCAGGTGTATCGCTCGTGTAACTGCACAGGTGCATAGCATGATGTAAAACTTACTGTCAGAATCTTTCACAAATAAGGGTCCAGCAAAATCCAGGCCAGTAACTGAAAATGGAGGTGACTGTTCTATTCTGTCTTTGGGAAGAGGAGCCATAATTTCTCTTCCTGATCGAACATTGAATTTTTTACATAAGACACATCTTCCAATTATTGACTTAATAAATTGCCTACCTTTCGGAATCCAAAATTTCTCTCGTACCTGTGTTAATGTGTGTTTGAAACACCAGAGTGTATGGTCTTTTCGTGTGCTTCTTTCACTATCAGTTCTGTAAATTTAGTTTTTGATGGTAATAGTATTGGATGTTTTTCATAATAGTTCAAATTGGAGTGCTGTAGTCTTCCACCGACAAGTAGAATCCCTTTGTCAGAAATGAATGGATTTAAGTCTCTGATTTTTTAGCACTTCAAAAAATTTTGTCTTTCCTTTACGTAATCTATATCTTTACTGTAGTTCCTTGCTTGTACGTGTCTCAACCAAAGGTTTTCAGCTTCTTCTAATTCTTCTGCAGTTAAGACATTTTTGATTCTATCTTCTTTCTTCAGTCTCAAATTTGTTATAAATCTTCTAATCCAGGCTGTTATTCGGAAAACCTTCTTAATAGAACTAAATTTGTGGATATCGAAAATATAATCGTGAACATTATTTTCACTTGCATAATTAACTGCAATAAATTTCGATCTCTTTTCTTCATCTACATCTGCTCTTCTAAAAGTTTTTTCATTTTTCGGCCATTTTTCTTCGCTTAATGTCAACCATGTTGGTCCATTAAAAATAATTGCACTTGAGAGCAAATCATTAGCACTGCATCCTCTTGATATGATATCAGCTGGATTATCATTTCCCTTTATGTACTTCCAATTAGTAGGATCTGCTAAAGTTTGGATCTCACTTACTCTGTTTGAAATAAATGACTTCCACTGATTTGCATTTCCTCGAATCCAACTAAGGGCTATGGTTGAGTCAGAATATAGAATATAGTTCTTATTTATTTGAAACATCTTCCTTAAAGTATCCAATAATCTAGAACCTATAAGAGTGGCCATCAGTTCTAATCTTGGTAGACTCAACTTCTTCAATGGTGCAAAGCGTGCCTTTGAAGTAACGAAGCTTACGTAAAAATTTTGATTTCTTTCATATCGAATATATGCAATCGCTCCATACGCCTTCTCACTTGCGTCACAAAATATAATTATCTTATAATTCCCTACTTCGGAGCAGCTATCTTCTTCATGAAAATAATTTCTTGGTAGTGAAAGTTCCTTTAATACATTTACTTCCTTATACCATTTTTCCCATTTCAGTCTTAAAATATCTCCGAATTCCTCATCCCATTCTAAGCCTTGTTCCCATATTTCTTGAAGAAGAATTTTAATTCTAATCGTGAATGCTGTTATATATCCCATTGGATCAAATAATTTCGATGATATGCGTAATACGCTTCTCTTAGTATTTTTCACATTTTCCAAAGAGTCAATTAAAGAACTTAAATCTAAATTAAATTCATCCCTTAAAGTATTCCAAATTAATCCTAAAACCTTTAAAGGTACTGTTTCTTCACTAGGATATTTTTCAAATTTCGTGTCTTGCCATTTTTGGCATAACTCCTTAGAATTACTCTTCCACTTCCTAAGATTTATTGATGCATCCTTTAATATTAATTTAGTGTCCCTGGATAATAGTAGTCCATCTTCAATCGTATTTGTACCAGTAATAAGATCGTCGACATACAAATTTTCATTTAAAACCTTACACGCCAAAGGATGAGATTCTTTATAATTTTTGATATGATACTTTATTGTTCCAGCCAGTAAAAATGTTGATGATTTTACTCCGAAAGTTACGGTTCTATTGCGAAAAACCTCAATTTTCTTGGGAGGGAATTGCTCTGACCAAAGAAATCTAAGATAGTCCCTATCATGTTCATCAATTAACAATTGTAGGAAAGCCTTTTCACAATCAGCAATTATTCCTATTTTAAACTCGCGAAATTTTAATAGTAAAATTAAAAGATTAGGGTTTAGATTGGGACCCGATAATAAGTTATCATTTAGAGAGTAGCAATTTTTTTCTTTAGCCGAAGCATCAAAAACTATCCGTAACTTTGTAGTTTGTTTATCATTTCTAATTACTGGATGATGAGGTAAGTAATAAACCATATTTGGAACTATTGATTTATCATTAACAGGTTCTATTATTCCTTCCGATAATTGTTCTTTAAAAATACTAGCATAATTATCATGCAAAGAAGGATTTTTATTAAAACGCGATGTTAAACTAATTAACCTTCTTTTAGATAAATTAAAATTGTCAGAAATGTTTACCTCATCTTTAAATGGTAATTTAACTACGTATCTGCCATCCTGAAATTTTATATTTTGTTCAAACTGTTTTAAAGTTTCTTGCTCTAAAGGTGTATTCTGAATTTTATCATTTATGCCTAAGCTTTCAATATCCCAAAATTTCCGTAACTGTAAATTTATATCATCACAAGAATTATTTTCACTAGTTAATTCCTCACAATTAAATTTTTCCTTACAATAACATAAATTTTCAATGATAGAGTCATTTTTTAAATCTGAATGAGTAATCCCAGTTACGCTTCCGCCGAGTAATGTTTCGACATAAAACAAATCTTTAGTCAACTCCTTTATGTACCCAGTGTGGAGTTTCCAATAATAATCTGCTCCAATTAATATATCAATGGAATTTATTCCTTTCGAAAGGCATAAATCAGTAAGCGCAAAATCCTCAAGCAGCAACTTTATTTTATTATTATGCGGTGGGAAAGAAGCACGTGTTATGGTACTTGAAACCAATAATTCGAACTCTGACCTTCGAGTAGGATATTTTTTATTGCTTATACTCGCCTTTACTATATCAAATGTTTTTTCTTGCGGTTCACGGCTTCCAAAAGTATAAACTAATAAATTTTCCTTTCTTATTATCGGGAGATTAAGCTTTTGAGCTAATTCTCTAGTAATGAATGACCTCATTGATGCGGAATCAAATAAAATATTTATCTCCTGCGTTTTATCTGCCAAATGTAAATTCGCAACACATGTTTGTAAGAACACTGATTGAAATTCCCCCTTTTGTCCCTCTTCGACATGAGAAACGCTGGCTACAACTGTATTTTTCTCTGCGGTTTCTTGCGAACTTTCGTTTTGAGTTTTCGGAATTCCAAAACAAATTATTTCGTGATGAGATTTACTATTACATTTTTTACAAGGACTAATTTTACTCCTACATTGTGAACTTAAATGTGATTTTCGGAAACATTTAAAGCAACGACCTTCGCGCATTAATCTATCTCTTTTTTCAGAAACCGACATTTTTTCACAAATAAATGAATCATGTTCTGATTTACAAAATACACAATTAAATTTTACATTAGTAGCCAATGCTGAAGCTGTGGGAATATTCGATCTGAACTGTTTTTTGTTATTTATTACTTCCCTGGAATTATAATAATTATAGTGTTTATTTTTCTTAGCATTATCATGGAATAATGTAGATGATTCGCGTACTTGAATTTCTTCCTTAATAAATTGAATTAATTCCGAAACATTAAATTCTGATTTTGATTTTCGTTTGCGGTTGTATTCTAAAGTTAAATCTTCTGGTATTAGTTTTAATAATATAGGGCATAATAAGTGTCCATATGTTCCAGAGACTACATTTAAGCTTTCTAAAGATCTAATGTTTACTTCTAAATTATCATATAAATTCCGTAATGCTCTAATATCACTAGAATTTTTTACGGGATCAAGATTTAATAGACGATTCATATGACTATTAATCACTAAATCTTCGCGCCCAAATCTATATTTTAACAATTCTATACTTTTCATATAATTTTCTTTAGTCAAAGCAAACCCTTTAATGGCATTTAATGCAATTCCACCCAGTAAACTCTTTAAGTAAATTTTTGTATCTCAGTTAAACTTTTGTTTTCATGGATCGCGATTTCAAATTGATTCCAAAATTCAAGCCATAATGTTGTTTCTCCGTAAAATTTGTTTATGGTTAGTTTTGGGAGTTTAACTGCATTACTTATTTCTGGTACAAATTTAGATTGTGCGCTGTTAAATGATTCTTCTCCTCCTCTACTTTCTTTATTGTTTTCTTTCAAAAATCTTGCGATTCTAGATTGCCACTTTATTATTTTTTCCGAATATTCTTCAATTCCAGTAATTTCAATTTCTATTTCCTCACTTTCAATTAGTGGTTCAATTCAATTATTTATTGCTTTTCAACTTTTATTTTTATCAATTAACTGTTCCTTATAATCTATTAATTCCTCGATTTTTTCTTTAGATTCCACATTATCATCATTCATCAAATTTTCAATCTTTGTTATTAATCGAGTTGTTAAAGAGCGAATTGTTTTTCTTCTACTTTTCAAATCATCGTATGAATCCATTATTTAAATCAATTGCACTCACCTTTAATCAAATTCTTAGCTCCAGGTTGGTGCGAGAATATTAAATACGGTGATATGATCTCAGATCTCGGGGTTTCAATCATAACAAACGCCTTTTAACATAATATATATTTAATAACAAAAGGATGATGATAGAGTTACAGTGTCATGGAAACTGATTAGAAACTAATGATTTTACATTACTGCGCAGAGCGCCATCTATTGAGCTTTAGAAATTATAATTAATAAGGAGAAATATTATTAACAGCCTCTCTGCTATAATACAAGCTATCAACATACTGGTATATATTAGAAAGCCAAATACACATAAGAAACTACCCTTATGCTCATGCTTGATGTCACTAAGGCGTTCGATCGAGTGTGGTATAAGGGGACTTATAATCTATTACATAGTATATGCATTCCTAATGATGTCCTTCTAATCTTAAACTCATATCTCACTAATCGATAATTTGGAACCAAAATCAATAATACTTTCCACTCATAAAAAATCATTTAAAACGCGTGCCTCAAGGTAGTATTCTTGGATTACTACTCCACTTTTTATTTACTGCTGATTTTCCCATCAATGATGAAAACCCAAACTACATTGCTCTGTATGCCAATAACATCACAGTTTTCACGGAATTAACCAAACACCTCCTTGCAGTTGATTTATTTCAGAAGAAAAAGACATCGCAGCATGGTGCTTTAAGTGGAAAACCAACCTATATCCTGATAAATAGCCTGATAGCCCTTCTATAGAAAGACGCAAAAAAGAGCAAGAACTGGTAAGCAAGACATTTCATTACAGCATTTTTTTCGTGAAAAAAAATTATCTGTAACTGTCAAGATTTCTTTAATAATTTTAGCATTGATATAAAACTTCTTTTCCACGATTACGTAGACACCCCTCGGGGTTTGATCGGGGGTAAGCTAATCCTTGTAACTTAAGTGCAAAGAGTAACTCGGCACGACTGGTAATTACCAGGACTGTCGGGTCTCTACTTTAACAGAGCCACATATTCATACATCCTCACCTTTCTTTTACTCGCCCTCCTTTTGCAACCAACCGAAATAACAGTAAATATTCATTAGTGTTTATTTTCCCTTATTACTTTAATTTCACCTTTTTTTCATGTACTTTTTTATTACTTGTAATTTGGTTATAACCTAACAATGGCAATAGCCTAACAATGGCATTATTGCGTTAAAAATAAATACTTTCCCAAGGAGCGGGGGAAACTAACGGAAAACCAATAAGAGAGCATAATTTGTTTGTCCAATTCCATAAAGTGATACCAAGGGTAACAAAAGCTACATACCTGGGTCTACTGGTTAACAACAGACTGACATGGTCAGGTCATGTAAGGAATATAAAGAACGAGGTGAATTCTGCAACTGTAAAACTGCAAGCAATTGCGAACAACGAAAAATTGAGCTTGAAACTAAAGAGACTGCTATTTATCTCAATGGTAAGTCCGATCATGACCTCCCCGGCATGAAGTAAAATGAGCTTTGGAAAACTCACTGCAGAACAAGTTACTTGTTCTGCAGTGAGTTTTACTCGAAGTCAATACTCTCAATACTTGAAGTATTGAGAAGGATAACGGATGCGAGATGGTACAAAAGGAATAGCGATATTCTCTTCGATCTTGAGATCGACCGTTTCGATCGTCACTTAACAAAGTTAATTGAAACTTCTTTGAAAAAGCGTTAAACTGTGATGCTGAAAACGTTAACTCGATTTTCGACTAAGAGTACCTCATAGAGGACGCCTCCCTTAGGCCAGTTTCATACATTTTTTACAATTGATGCAACAATGACCATTTGAGCATTTATAGTGATAAATAGTATTTTATATGACAATACATATGACGATATTCAATATGAAAATGGGGAAATATAAATATATATAATGCGTTGACTGAAATCAATTTGATTTGAAGGGCACAAAGAAGGGACAAAGCTTTTTGATTGATCAATATGCTTTATGTGATGCATGGTGATATGATGTTTTCATGTTGCGATGTGTAGTTGAATACTTGTGTTGTCATGTTATACTGACAAACTCTGTTTAGGAAGTATAATTTTGATTTACATGTCTATATATTTATACTTATATACTATATATTCTTATTTTTATCTCTTTCTATGTATTTGTTTTTATATTTAAGTAATTATTTTCATGTTTTTTCAAACTTCATCATACATGATGGTATTTACTCTGGTAATGTGCCTATTTATTAATTCTTACTTTTTATTCCTAGGCTACAAGGACCAGGAGGTTTCCACCTCAACTATCCTCACCACAGGATGAAGGGGTGAAGATCCCCTCCGGCCAACCAAAACGATTGCGACAGGTATGCGAGTGGCAGTCCCTAAGATACCTGGCTCATCACATTAACATAGATACAGACTTTAATTTTTAAACTGAACAGGTTTCTTATTGGGATTTATTCATTCTTATTTAAATTATTTTGTCGAATCCTTTTGGACATTAACTTCTTTTGACTTAATTGTTTTTATTTTAATGTTAATTTTATTGCGATGTCCTTTTATCGAATCATTTTAGACTTATATTTTAGCTGATTTTATTGCAAATATTGTACATAATGTTAATAAGTAAATTATTTCTTTATTTTAATGTATTTTTTTATTATACTTACGTCTTAATTTCATGATTCTCACTAGATATCGTACTTACAACCTTACAGGCTTTCCTTCACACTACCAATTATTTATGTTATGTCATTAAAAATTGACGAATTAGTTAGTGCTGCCTCGTGACGAGTCACTGAAATTTTTGTCAAAATAAAACTTTTACAAATGTTGCTCATTAAAGAATAATAATACCAGTACTCTTAAGTCCAGTACTCTTAAGGAAATACTTAAGAGATCAATTTCTGTATAAGTCAGGAATGGTAGCCACGCAGGTGTCATTACAGATACTTTTGTTCCTGATATGCCAGGGTGAATTTGTGATATTGCGGATTGTCGTGTTAGAAGCACTTAGCAAAAGTTTACTCATTTCCAGGTTGGCAACAGGCCGGAGAATGTCGCCTTTTAAATACTCCGTAAATTTTGGGAGATAAAAGTAAATTGGAATTTTATAAGTGATAATTGGATAACAGAGAAGACTCCAGCTACACATAATTTGTGATTTTTACTTAACTGCATACATTATTTCCGAAGATATGACGTTTTTTAATTCTTGGGAATATGGTGAACAACGAAATCTAACGAGGCGTATCTTCTTTCAATCCCAGTTCCCTACAGGAGAGCAAGTTCCAAGATCATAGTCGTTTATTTTGCAAGAAATTTCAATCTTATCCGATTGAGTAGGCGAATTGACCGCATAAAGTGTTATAAGAGGCATGGTGGGTGTTTTTAGTTGCATGACAAACATATTTATGTTCTCATAAGAAAAAATACATTAATCCATGACTGAAAGCCCTTCTATGGAAATGCATTTCATTCAAGCATTTTGTTCGAGAAAAATAAATTATCATGATTTCTTTCATAATTTCAGCATAAATATGAAACTACTTTTCCAAGATTAAATAGACAGGTTACCCGAGGTCCTTTAAAAATTTAAGTAGTGCTAGAACCACAGTATATCAGTAATAGATAATTTTCTGGAGGAGTAAATCTATCTCAATAAAAAACAATTTATTGCTGTTAATTTTTCACGGTCTCGTCTTACCTCGCTTTCAAATTTTTCACAAGGAAGAAGAAATATAATAAATAAATTGAATCCGTTAAAAAATTTGGTAGCTTCTAATACTGTTTTATTCCTGAAAAAAAAAAACTAAAAATACAATTTTTTAGTTACCAGATTTTCGATTCTCGATTATATTCAAATGTGAAAAATTATAGTAGCATAAAATACAACGCCTCGCGAATTATCTCTAGTGTGCCCAGTGGATGACCAACCTAAATGACAATACTAAATTTAAAAAAAAAATTTTGCTTTAGTTTACTACCACTGGGAAAAACATTTCGCATAAACTCTAATGCTGAGATTATGTCCTTCGCGGCCAGGAAAATGTATACAGAATGTTTCAAATGAAGATGTTTTATACCCTGAATATCACAACTTTTTCGAAAAATTATTTCTAATCATTTCAATGAAATAGCTGAAACTGAAAAATTTTCTCCTCTTTTAATTTACCATATCTACCAGCCAAATGTGTTGCTGTTAGATACTTTTGTTAATCTGCAGACTTCCTGCCATACAACGCACATTATCAAAATTAAAATGTATAATAAATTTATTTTATTTTCTGAAACGGTAACTTCTAATATTTGAACTACGTCATTTCTATCTTAAAATTCGTCATCAGAAAAAGAGTAATATTTTTTTTAAATTTATATTTTTGTAAAATGATTTAATTATTCATGTACAGTCAGCAAAAAAAAAAAGATATCACCCTGAATAACTTTTGTTCTAATGATCGGATTTTCACGATCTAAGTGTCANTACATATTTTTTTTAAATTTATATTTTTGTAAAATAATTTAATTATTCATGTTCTTTAAAATTCAAAATTTTTTGAAGCGTTTTCACAAAAATAATAATAAGTGATAAATAATTGTTTAAAACTACTGTTTGTATAGAATAATCTTTGGGTAAACGAATTTTATAACTGTGTATAAAATGTTTCGATGAGCTTGAAAATTCATCGAAATATTGTTTAATAAGCAAAAATTAAAATTAAAAGAAATAAACTTTTGATCGCTCTCTTGACCATACTATTGGAACCATTTCTACAGAATTCGAATTTGACAGAAAAGTAACTGAATGAAAA